AAAGAAAATAAATAAAGGTATAATCTAGGAAACACAAAATTACACAGAGAACACAAACAGCAATCAAAATGATGGCAACCAATACACATCTTTCAATAATAACCTTAAATATCAATGGACTGAACTCCCCAGTCAAAAGACACAGGCTAAGTGAATGGATTAAGAAAAAAAATCCATCTCTTTGCTGTCCACAAGAAACCCATCTCACCTTCAAGGACAGGCACTACTTTAAGGTAAAAGGATGGAAAAGAACATTCCAAGAAAATGGCCCTAAAAAAAAAGCAGGGGTTGCAATTCTAATATCTGACAAAATAGACTTCAAAATAAAACTAATCAGAAGAGATAAGGAGGGTCACTTCATTCTAACCAAAGGAACAGTTAACCAAGAAGATGTTATAATCCTTAACATATATGCACCAAACTCTGGTGCACCCAAATTCATAAAAACAACACTGCAGGACTTTAAGACACAGGTTAACCCCAACTCTGTAATAGTAGGGGACTTCAATACCCCACTGTCGCCATTAGACAGGTCAACTAGACAAAGAATAAACAAAGAGACGTCTGAATTAAATGATACCATACATCAAATGGACCTAACAGACATCTTTTGAATATTCCACCCAAGTACCAATGAATACTCTCTCTACTCAGCACCCCATGGAACTTTTTCAAAAATTGACCATATACTGGGCCACAAAAACAAACCTCAACAAATACAAAACAATTGAAATAATTCCATACATTCTATCAGATCACAATTCAATAAAGCTCAAAATCAACACTGGACAAAGCCCTAGTCACTACACAAACTCATGGCAATTAAACAACACACTCCTAAACAAGGAGTGGGTCAAAGGATAAATTAAGAAAGAAATAAAAGAATTCCTGGAATTCAACAAAAAGGACTATTTTTATTAAACACAACACAACCTCTGGGACACTTTAAAACAGTCCTAAGAGGGAAGCCTCTAAGTGCCTACATTACAAAATTAGAAAGAGCCTAAATAAATGACCTAACACTGAAACTCAAGACACTGGAAAGGCAAGAACAAACGAAACCCAAACCCAGCAGAAGAGAAGAAATAACAAAAAGCAGAACAGAAATTAATGAAAGAGAAACAAAGAAAACAGTACAAAGAATCAATGAATCTAAGAGCTGGTTCCTGAAAAGCTAAACAAGATAGACAGACCCTTAGTTCAGTTAACCAAATGAAAGCGAGAGCAAATCCAAATCAACAAAATCAGAGATGAAAGGGGAAACATCACAACAGACACCCAAAGATACAGACCATTATAAGGGAATATTTCTAGAACCTATATGCTACTAAATCTGAAAATCTAAAAGAAATGGATGGATATCTAAAATCATGGGAACCACCAAAGTTAAACCGAGAAGAGATCAACAGTTTAAACAGACATATAATATAAAAGAAAATTGAAACAGTAATACAAAGCCTCTCAACTAATAAAAAGCCCAGATGAAGATGAATTTACAGCAGAATTCTACCAGACATTTAAAGAAGACCTCCTCCCAATACTGCTTAAATTATTCAAAATGATAGAACCACAGGGAGAACTTCCCAAATTCTTTCTATGAAGCCAGCATCACTCTAATACCCAAACCATGTAAAGACACAACCAAAAAAGAAAACTAAAGACCCATATCCTTAATGAACATAGATGCAAAAATTCTCAACAAAATACTTGCAAACT